ATTTCTGATTTACAAAAACAGTGAAAAAGTGTCTTTTTTCACTCCACCCTAGTGTACATGTATGTGCGTGTGTATTTGTATGTGTGTACATATGTTTTTTATGATATACCTTTATTGTATTTCTTGACGTACCAAGTGTACATAATATGTAAAAACTGGTAAATAAATATTCTATTCTATTCTATTCTATAATCATGTAAACAGAATAATTGAAAAGATGTTTAAACCTTCAATAGTAGGATGTGTAATATTTATGATTAATAATCGAAGGATAATAGCGATAATAGGAAGCAAATCAGTGACAGTATTAGCCATCAAGGGATACCCACAAGAGTCCTATCACCTTTACTGTGGTCTATAGTTATTGATGAACTTCTCAGTAAACTAAGTTACTCTGGATTCGATACCCAAGAATACGCTGATGACCCAGTCATTATAATAAGAGGCAAGCATAATGAGATGTTCTCAGGTCTAAGGTAAATCGCACTCAACGTCATCAAAACTTTGTGTTCGGATGAAGGTTTACATGTTAATCCAAGCAAAATAGTCAATATAACATTCACAAAAAGAAGGAAGCTTTCTCTAATAGCCCCAAAAATAAATGTGACTTCTGGATGTGCAGCAGGCCCTTCGGTAAAACGCGGTCTAAAACCAAAAATTCCCAGTAAGTCAGTTGACACACCCATTGTCACCAAAAAACAAAAGATGAACAGCAGAAAATAAGTTGTTAAAAGTACAACGGTTAGCGTGTCTGGGAATCACAGGAGCAATGAGAACCTGTCCAACAGCATCAATTAAAGCATTGCTTGAACTGCTTAGTTTACATATGCATGTAAAGAAGGAAAAGCTCAAAGACTGCAATCCAGGAAATTCAAACCAGGAGATCTGACTGGACATCTGAGTATTCTGAATGAATTTCAGTTAGTCTTAATGACCAAATCTATTGACACAATGCCATTGAGAGTCGAATTTGAGCGGATATTTGGTAATAACTGATCACCAAATATTGAGCTCTGGATGACCCAAATTTGAAAATGGATCCCTTATCTGGGATACAGATGGATCAAAGATGGAGGAAGGAGTAGGGGTAGGGGTATATAGGCCCAGATGCAGGCTATTAAAAGCTTTGACCAAACTTCCACTATCTTTCAGACAATCATTCACGCCATATAAATCTACATTAAAAATTTATTAAGAAAAGACACACGAGGAGCAAGAATCTATATCCTACTTCCTTTACTTGTAAGGCTGACATAGTCTAGGAATGTCTACAAACAGTAAAGCAACTGACAATGACAATAAGGTTACCTTGATGTGGATGTCAGGACATGAAAGAATAGAAGGGATGAGATTGTTGATAGCCTTGTGACGGAAGGTTCAGGATCACCATTCATCAGATCAGAACCGTTTTGTAGAATATCTAAAAGCCACACAACAGACGAGGTTAGAAAATGGGAAAAGGAATATTAATCCTCCTACTGGAAGTTAACTTCAGGTCAAAGAAAATCGAAGAAGTTAATACACCACTTGCAAAAAAGAATACCAGAGAGCTACTCGAACTCAGCAAACCAGAGTTAAGGATATTTATAGATCCAATGAAATGCCATCTCAAAAAAATGGGTAAAGCTGAAAGCGACATATTATGTCGCTTCTGTACAGATGAAGCGGAAACCGTGAAACATAATCCATCAGAGGTTACGACATTTGGAACAGGTATCGACAACACCTGCCAAACTGGGAATCATAGCCCAGAGGAAAGTTTTAGGCATCTTCAGAAGCCTAGAAATTGATGGGAACACATAGATATAAGAGTTATCACAAAATACCTTTTCAGGTCGCAGTGAAGGGAGGCCATTTTTGGGCCTTATCGACCGACTCTCAACAAGCTAATCTAAATTGTCCGGAGATAGTTGACAAAATGAAGGACTAGTATAGTGTGTTTTGTTATTTGTGGAAAAATCTTCAGTGTTACTGTCACTGTCACATTGAAGATTTCAACTCCTCTCTTGGATTTCAACTCAACTGCCTTATATCCCCCCTTTAGGACTTATGTTTTGTGTAAAACTTATGAATTTAAAACTTATTTAGTTGTACAATGTACATACAATTTGGACAAAAAAAATTATGCACCGACAAATTTTCTTTAAATTTCTGAAAATTGATCAATTTTTAAAACTGGTTATACTATAAAACATATTAGGATAAATGCAAAATAGAGTATTAGATAGTGCAATATGTTATACACAAGTATGTGAACTCATTTTTTTTACTTGTTCAGTGTGTATCCTGCCTGATCTATCATTGAAGTCTAAAATTTGGTGATTGAAAATGTTGAACATTTATTATTGGGAGGTATTTTTAAATGATTTATCCTGTTGGTAACTGTATATAGCATTAAAATTTAGTATTATTTTATCTGTAAGCTTAGCAAAAAATCTTAGTAATAATATTTTGCAGCTCGAAAATACTTATAACATATATTTGTTCAAAACAACTATTCTATACTCAATGTTTGGTTTATAACACTTAAACACAAAACCCATATACTGCACTCCACGCGCGTAACTAACCTTATCCTAATAATGTGTCCTACTTACACCTAAACCATTGTCATGGTTCGTGACTCACTAGAAAATAGAGAGGGTTATTTGTAATTGGCCCTCTGGTAATATTCATACTATTTTTACACTTTGTGATTTCCAAGCTTTCAAATGCATCCAGCTGTCTAGTATTTGTTACATTATTAATTAATCTTAAATTGCTAATATCTATTTTATGGTTGTTCCCATACGCATATTGGACAACACTAGACTTATCTAATCTATTCTACCATATTTGAGATGAACCATATGCCCTTTGAACCTAGTTTAAATTAATCTGCTAGTTTGTCCTACATACTTTTGATTAGAGTGATTACAGCTAATTTCGTAAATCCCCGATTTTCATTTGTTTCAATTTTGTCTTTTGGATTGCCTAAAAGTTGTTGTAGTTTGTTTCGCCATGGATGAACCACTGTCTTAAAAATGTTTACCAATACCATAGGTGAATCGAGGATCGAATGGAATCGATACAAATTTTAGATCTTCTCTTTCATTTTGAATGGTCGAGAAATTTCGAAGTGTCTGTTTAAACTTACGTTATCTTATCAATTAAACTTACAAAATATCCATTACTCGCAGGTATATCCTTAATCAATATCTTTTCTTTTTCAAACCTCTCCTTATTGAGGGGGAAGCTTAATAGGTGATGAACTAGAAAATTAAAAGTCGCCATTTTGTGTTGGGCACAATAGTGAAAGTCCTTAGGGATATATGTTAGAGTACTGGTATCTTTTCTGTATATGTCAAATTCTATCTTATTTTCAACATTTCTAATTATTTATACATCGAAAAATGGTAATTGTCCAGAGTTTTCAATTTCATATGTGAATTTAACGGACGCGAAACGACTGTTTAATTTAGAAACAAAGTTGGCAGTATTAGCGACTTTTGTCTGCAAAAATAACATCCATATACTTAAGTCAAACCCTGAGGAAATATTCGAATTTTTTTGCTTCTGTTTCGAATCTGCTCACGAAGAAACTGGTAATGAATGGTGACAAAGAGTTACCCATTGCTTTTCCTTCATGTTGTTCGAAGAAATTATCGTTGAATCGAAAGCAATTTTGTTTCATGCAAAGTTTAGTGAGTTGGAGATATTCTAAGGTAGTCCAAGGTCTGTGGTATCGAAACACTTGGAAACAATAAACAAACGTCAAAGGAGATTAGAATTTCACCTTCTTGCAACTGAATACTTTTCACTTTATTAATGAAATCATTGGAATTAGTCACAGAGAAACTTGGTGGTACAGTAGGTAAAATTTTCGAACTCCTCTGTTAACCATTTTGATAATAAAGGTCCTAGTACGATCCCTGAGTGATCAGGTGTTATTATAATCTAATTAGGCCAGAAACTGCGATATTGTACAATTAGCGATTATCTTCTAAATGTGACATAAAATATTTGAGGAAAGATTCTGTCAAAGGCCTTTGTAAAATCTGTATAAATGACATAAACCTGATTTTCCGAATTTAGGAATTGGATGATGCATAACAAATTGCTAGAAGTAGACGGGCTCGGCATAAAGCCATACTGATCAAAATATGAGGTTTTAATTGGCTGAAAAGAATATATTGCATCAAGGTTTAAAAAAAAGTTTGCTAAAGTTATAAAATTACTATAGATCTATAGTTACCAGCAGCACCGTTATCTCTGTTTTTAAATAAAGGACAGATTCTAGATATTTTCCAAACTTCACGATAAGTAAGCGTTTTAAGACACATTAAAATTAATAGCTAGTAGCTAACAGAATTATATAATCCCTAAGCAAAAAGTAGGAATTCTAACTAGACCAGTAGTACATTTGGTTTACAGTTTTTTTAATTTATTTTAATACTTCATCCTCTGTTATGTGAGGTACACATCTGGTAACATTATAGTAGATAGTATCAGAGTAATATGAATAATGGGAATACTGGGAATACTGGATACGTTATTTCTTATACAATTTAAATATGAACAAAAGCAGTCTGGATTCGTTTGTATCTGATTTTTAAAATTTATTAGATATTATTCTTTTCAGTATCAATTTTTATCCTAGATCTTAATGTTTTAAACTGATAAAGTTCATCCTCATTATTATTCTATCTGCACTGCGCCAATTCTTAATTTTAATATTTCTGATAATATTAAGAATACAAGGTGGATATGTATTTGTTTTAGTTATGGTTTTTGGTACACTATTAGCAAATACAGAAACTAAGATAGAATAAAATACGTCACATGTTTCTTTTTTTGATTTTTTTTTTATTTACATCGCTACTCATTGGTAATATAATCCCTTCTATCTCTGAAGGTAACTCAAGATACTTTGTATGGGGGATGGCTACACATTTAGAGAAAATGAACACACACCAAATATCCGAGTACGCTAGGATTAATTTCTTGTTTAGAAAAAATCCCAGCCCCGCGACCGAGGATCGAACCCGGAACTCCAGCGTGAGAAGCAAATGTCGTTATCGTTTGACTACGAAGCCGCGAAGTTTCATTGACGTCTTTACATAGAGCCAGTGTAGAAAATTCCTTATTACTCAAATCATTATATTATAATTATGCAATACCATTTCACAAGTACAACATTCTTTTATTATATTTTTTGTTGCATCATTCCTGGGACACACTGCTCATTCATATAAATATAGATCTAAGTTAAAAATACGCGCACCTGATTAATTAGTATTCACGGTGGTGGTTAAAAATAGCAACGATTTTTTAACATTCTGTTTTTAAGTATAAATCAACAACAATATTTATGTTAAACATATATTTCGATACAATCTGTTTCTTAGAAAACAAAATAAAACTAGGAAATTAGTAAATACTGTGACGTTCTCAATGACGCTGAAAAGGAGGCTGTCGTAAAAGATCCTGAATGATATGTCACCTAATATGTTAATGTGTGTAGTACCGGTTGAATTCAAACAAGTCTGGAAAATCCAAATACCCAAACGAAAGTGAATCAAGCATTTAACGTAAAAAATATTGTTACATACTAACGTATTACATGTGCCGATAATATTGTTCGATATGTACAATACAGTTTTTTTAATTATTTGTGTGTGAGTTTAATTTATTACTGTCAATAAAAAAATGCGGATGTGGAAAGTTACATTACAATTAAAAATAAAGAAAGAAAGTCAACGCAGATTATAAAACGTATTTTTTATGTCTGTTTAATTATGTTAAAAAATATCTTGTGTAATGCTATTTCGGGTATTTTTAGGAGATAAAAATGTTAATATGAAGTACAAAATACATATTACTAAAAAACATAAAACTAAACAAACTGAAACTAGTGAGGTATTGACAAATGATTTTAGTTACCAAACAAGATTTATAGGTTTAATTCAACGTAGGTCGGGACTTTTGTTCGCTGAGTAGTTGTTTCGTGTAGGTTTTATTCAGAAAACAAAAATTAGAAAATTAAATTTAAACCAGAATCCTTCATTTAAATTTTTATTAAATTTCTTACTTTGACAGATAAATACAGTTTTTTGAAAATTGTGTATTTTATAGCTGTGGAAGACTGTTGTAGTGCACTTATTGGAGGGTCAAGATAATAGTTCAGAACAGTAAAATAAACATCCATCCCTCAATTTATTTAATTATTGGACATCCCAATGAAATGAAATAATGGTGTCGATATCAGTACCTACGTGGTTGTACAAATAAAAATAGAAATATACAAAGGGAAGACAGTAGATACAAAAAAAAATACACTAAATAATTCCATTAATACTAAACAGTCACAAATAGAAAAGTATAACTAAAATAGAGGAATTAGGCGCGGCTAATGTGATAAGTCTGATAATAAAAGGGATTAGACGATATTTGATTTGTTTTACATAAATCGATAACTTTATTTTACTTATAAAGTAGTGTGTATAAAAATACAGTATTAAGCAAGTTTTACATCACAAACAAGTCACTGGTAAATTAAAATACATGTATCATATTTTGCAATACATTTATTTAAATTTGTCATAAACAACATTATATATAATAGATTCTGTAACACACAACTATGTCGTTAATCCTCGTTAACAAATGACTTGCCATACAATAACACAGGAATCAGATAATTCTATTTTGTAAAAATAGTTTTACCGTTATTAAACGTTTCATCGTTAAGAGAATGTCGTTCGGAAGCGATAGCTATTCAGGGTATCTGTAGCTTTCGTTGACAATTATTTAAGCGTTAGTTTTGTGTTTCCTAACCTCTCTTACCGACAAAGACTGGAAATAAATGTATTATTATTGGCATTTTTGCAAGATCTGCGAAGAAGGCCTCGAAAGGCCATCGGAAATATTCAATTTCAGTTTAATTTGTGCCCAAGTTTCCTCTAAAATATCCAGTTTTGCCGATCTTGATCATGAGCGACTCTTATTGTATGAAGGTTTGTTCCATAAGGTGCCCAAGTGTTAAAGTTTCGCTGGTTAAATACTCCATCTCGTGTAAAACAGGCTTCATCCGTAAACAAAATATTTTCCAAAAATCTTGGATCATCATGACAATGTTCCAGCATTATTTGAGAAAACGAAACCAAGTCCAGGAAATAGGTGTTGAACACAGTGGTCGTGGACGAAATTTTGTGGGAGATTTGGAAGTTGGTGAGATTAATAGGTCTTGAGGTGCTGTTTTCGAGGTCACATTATAACATGGGTTTCCATGTCATTAAAAATAGTTAAATTTAATTGAATAAAACAAAGCGTAACACAAAATACATTTATTCATAAAAAACAACATTTACGACTCTTATCTCGGGCCGAGGAAGAAAAGCGATTAACCAGATAAATCAAATCAAACTTACAACTAAATAAAACAAAAACAAAGTCATACAAGGCAATCACAAATTCAAATAGTATAAAATATCAAACTAACTTAGTTGTTATTCGGCGCCATCATCGTTTATATTTAAAATATACAAGGTTTTTTCTTAACTTAAAAATAACAGACTACCATTGAAAGATGGAAAAAATGTGTAGCTACTTAAACAGTCAATGATAAATCAAGCACAAATAAAGGTAAAATCATTACAGGAATTTAGTTCAACTGCACGGGGCGGATTTGCAAAACTTATAGAAATATATGTCAGCAATTTACTGTGAACTCGCGAGGCATTTAACTCAGACACAAGTTAATGGGTAGTGTTTAGGTACCTAGGTGTTCGAAGTTAAAATCTTCTTAAGTTAGGTATCTTTTTGGTCGTAGATACGTCAATAAAAGGAAACATTCTTACCCTTTTCTTCTTTTGTCGAGTGTACGACCTGGGCCTAATAACACACAACAGCTCAGCTCACTTTGCAAGACGACATCCTTTGCAAACACTTTCTACTCACAAGGTTAACAATTCAAACCGCCGTCGCTGGTCATCAAAATTCTACATGCCAACAACTTTTATCTTGCTATGGCGGTTGCCCGCCTCATTCTATCCTGTCTGCCGCTAAGCACACCCCCGAATTCGTCTCTGAATGTGCACGACGGAACCTCTTCGTAAACAACTTTTTTATCCCGCACAGTAGCGGCGCACTAAATACCTAGTACAATAAGGTTTAGTAAAACTGTTTTATTCGAATTTGGAATTTAACTTGTAAGTCAAATGATATTCATATAATTTATAAAGAATGTAGTCCAAATTATTTATTTAAAATACGGATCGTTACAACATTTTGCGACTAAATTTTTTTTGCCGGAAACTGAAAAAAGTACACAGAAAGAGTACAGAAAAAATTGTTTCTTGCAAATATCGTCATTTCAGTGGTATTCGGAAAAATATCAGTTTTTTTCGTGATGAACGCTTCCGGCTCTAGAACACCGCAAATTTGGGAACATTTTTTCGATTTCATGAAAAATTTACTCATTGCAACAAAATTAACTCACAAACATTACTATAACATTTTTGCGGAAAGTGCATTAATTAAAAAAAAAACACACCACATAAATTAGACAACTCCCAAACCAAAACCAGAGCTGCACGGACGAGAGTTATTAGTTAAGAAAACGTGGACACACACAACCAATCCCTTTGACTTTGTCAGAGTTAAAACAGGAATTTGAACCCTGGAATCGATAAGCAGTAAACCAGTTACGTTTGTCACTGAAGAGCCTGGCCTATTGCATTACCGAGTTGGAATGGATATATTTGCAAAAAACCATTTTTTGCACCCTTTTTGTGTTTTCTCTGGCGAAAAGTTTCAGTCGTAAAATGTGACTCCGAAAAAAGCACCCCAAGACTTATTAATTTCATTAATTTCCAAAATTCCCTCAAGAGGTTCTTTCAAAAACCACGTATTTGCTGAACTAACCCTATTTTTTGGTAAATCAGCCGGTTCAAAATGTTGTACCTTTTGGTGATTGTATGGATAAAGAAGTTGCTGATGAGTTATCCTTCATGCTCTTGCATGTAAAACTCCCAAGCAGTTTGCTAATGTGTTTTGTAATGTACTGATGTTAGGGTTCATCTTCCACCAAATGTAATATAGCTTCTTTTCCATTTGAATTTCTCACGCATCGTCGACATGACTCTCTGACAATTCAGCGACGTTTTCTGTAAAGATTATTTGTGGGGACCAGAAATGTATATGGAGTTAACTGAGTTTGATGATATTATAGTATTTTAAGCATCTGTATTTATTTTAGGTGATCCCTTTGGGTGCTTCCAGCTACCTTAGGAAGCGATTTTAGACATATGTTTATAGAATCTTTTCATCTTATTTTAAATAAGGAATAGGTGGTTCAAAGATTTACATGTAATTTAGAAACAACCTGTATACGTTAACTGGATCAACTTGGATTCTAAGATACCATGTTAAATTTTTTGCCAATTTTTAGAAACTTCCTGCAGAATATATAAGTACATCCCGGATACATGATTATTTAATAAAAAATGTAACAATTCGGCGGGTCTTGTATCATTTAGAAATATTTCATTATATTTCGTTATAATTTAAATTTGTTGTAGCATAATTAATAGTGTCTAGAATCCTAATTAATTAAATGAAGTAATAAAGTTGAGAAAGAAAGTAACAATAATTAATAATTTTAAATGTCTTATTTAGATGCGAAGTGAGCAATATCCTTTTATTAATATTTAATAATGTAAAAGGAACCGAATATCAAAAACTTTAATGAAAATGTGATATTTAATTATATAATATTGTATATGAATATACTTTTTGTGACATTGACATACTAAGATTCTAGGAGATTATTGACTCTAAACAACTATTTTAAATTCTGCAATATATCTATATAATAAACAGTGTTTATATAACGTATTATAATTAGTCTGTTATCATAGTTTTCTGTCGGCAATTATTTGCTAATTTGTTTTGATGAATATATTAACAATGCAATATATTTTTTTTAGCTTTTGGTTAAAAAATTATTGGTGCCAAATAAAATGTGCTGTATTCATTTTAATTTGACGCTATTTCTAGTTCTAGTTATTAAATATTATCTATATTTTCTATATAC